CCGGAACTTGTTGCGATGTATTTTGCAGAGACTGGAATTATGCAGGCATCCAAGTCGTGTGAAGCGAGCAAAAGCGTCAATTTCGTAAGCTGCTGCGAGTTAAGAATGAGCCTTACTTTGCAGGTGAGATACGCTGCCTACCATACTATTAATTCCTGCCATTTACCTGGCTGCCCACACAGACCACCGATGTGGGTATTTGCATAATTTTACTAAAATGCTAACTTTGTTTTGATAGTGCCTTCGGGGCAATTAAAATGTAATTTTTTTGTTTAAACATGAGGCGGAAACAATGGGATCATAGTCTTTTAAGTTTTTGTCAGGAATGAGTCTGCGTTGCTGTTTGTGCAGCCGAAATTCTCGCATATATCATTTGATAGGAAAATTCGTAGGCCCAACTCATATGAAACCGGGATTGACGGAATAAACGTCATCAAAACTGCCCGGGATGAGAGCAGTCTGATTACTTTTGATAGATAATTCATGTTAACGATTGCTCACGATCTAACTGGAGCAGGCACAATCGAATGATCCAAACTATCGCTCTTGCATACCGGGACCCGACAAATATCCTCGTAGCTGTAGATGTTACATACCTAACTCAGACATGTTTGTATCATATTGTTAGCGATTGCTATAATATAATACCCAATAATTAAGGGAGTCAGAAACAGTGCATTATTCGCCCCTTCTGTGAAATACCTCGAGTTATTAATCGACCAAGATGGTTGTCACCTAGACGCAGGTAACACCAACGCCATGAGAAAGCTACCTCCACCAAAGGGGATTAATTCATTAGGTACTTTCTGGAGTTTTATGGGTCATTTCAGGTCAATCTTTCCCTAAATGCATCACATTCGTCATGAATGAACTATTCAAGAAAGGTGTGAAATTACACTGGTCGTATGAATGTTAACAAGCCTTTGAAGAAGCCTTTGACCCTACCTGCTACTACTCTGACTATGTCTCTGATGAAGAATCCGCAAAGGATCTCGAAACGTCAGGCGAATAAAAGTATTGTCCCAGCGGTCGAGTCGTCTTCTTCTCAATTAAAAATAGTGTTGAGCTCTGACTAGCTGTTTGCATTTTAACCCTGATCTGAAGATTTTCGTTGCAGCGGACGCCTCCAACTATGGAATTGGCAACGTACTTTTATACTAGTTTACCGGCAAGGCAGAAAAGGCTTTTTGTCATATAGCAAGATCGCTAAAGACTGCGGAACGTAACTATGGACAAATCGAATAAGAGATACTGACCATAGTCTTCGCCGCCTAAAAGTTTCAAACGATGCGTTATGGCTATCGGCTCACCCTTCTAAATGACTATACGCCTCTTCTTGCAATTTTCGGCTCACAAAAAGGAATTCCTCCGTACTCGGCAAATTGTCTGCAGCGCTGAGCAAACATGCGGCTGGGCTACGAATATCAGGCAAAAGTCTTTTACAGACCTCGCGCCTAAACAACTCACAGAACAAGGAGCCTAATGGCACAGTCTTTAGCATTTTCCTCTGCAGAGTCAAACATCACTTTCGAATGCCACAAACTCATCTCCGTTTTGCAATCCTGGTGGTGGTCTTCGATGTCGCTAGTTATGATCATCGTGGGCTCTTACGTTGTCGCAAACTTATCGGTGGACTCTGGAATCTGGTGGGTCGCATCTCGGTGACGTTGCCTTGACTTCTACTGTCTCCTTCTCGAAGCGATCCTGTTGACCCGGATAACCCCTTCTTAACTCACTGCTATATTATTTTCCCATGACAATAAGCGTCTGAACCCTGACAGCAGGATCCCATCTAACTGCATCATGTCATACCATGCTACATATTAAGGCAGTTTTTTCTCCTACATTTTTTTGGAAATCGGTGGCTCGCTGAACTCAGACACCGATGTAGGAGTTTTTTAACTGCCCAGACTATTATTCTATAAGAGAGTTCGTTGGAAATCGGACCTACCTTACCATCTTACCACGCGTAACATAATACTAATTCCTGTTGTCATACAGTTACTTACGAGCAACTGTGATAACCAATTTTGTATTTTTTTCTTTTTACGATAGCACTAAGTATGTAATGAAAGGGCCCGTTGGACCTTAAAGAAACAAATTATTTATTATTTATTTATGTCGACGTCCGTTGAGCCAGAGATTTACAGTCTGTCTATTGATTAAGTTCGTGCACTCGCTTTAAACTTGGTTGCCGCTTTTATCTTCGTCCCCGCCTTGTTCCAAGCGTAATTTTCAAATGGTTACAACTCTTATCCGTTTTTAAACCCTGACGATGTC